CAGGGCGTCTTTGGAGTTCCTGCTGTTCAGCCGCAGGAGGCGTCTCAAGACGGGATAAAGGAAACCCACAGTCAGAGGCAAAGCCAAGGTAACACTCCAGATGCCTCCAAGTGACAACATCAGAACTCTTGGCCAGGAATCCTTATGGAAAAATGGGACTTGTCATTCTGCTCTCACTGCCATAACATGACCAGCTTTGTTTCGGGAGGGATCCTGCAAAGCATGTATGCTCTTTCTGTAGTCTTTCAGAAGCTTGCATTCCCTCGGGAGAGACTCTAGCTTTCCAGTCTTGTGAGACTTTTTTTTTCTATCTCCTTTCCATAAACCTCACTTGCAAATTCACCGCACGTGTGGTTCGGTTCTCTCCCATGTTTATTCCTTTTCAGGTATCCCGCTGGCCCTTGTCAGAGAGGAAAAGAACCTTTCACTTCCTTTGACCACCTCTGGTTTGCTTCTCGCCTGGCACCTCTGGAGTCACCCCTTGGGCGCCTGGCCCGCAATAGCAGGAGACCGAAGGATCCTTACCTGGGATTCTATAAGATAGCCGGCTTCGTTGCCTTTCTCTAGGCCAGTTTTCACAACCTGCATCAAGACAAGGGACACAAAAGCAATCATTTGCATCAAGGCAGGCTTGTGCCTGAAGGGACGTGGTGGCGCTGCGGGTTAAACCGCAGAAGCCTCTGTGCTGCAAGGCACGTCGTAAGATCGAATCCACGCAATGGAGGGAGCTCCCATCACTTGTCCCAGCTCCTGCCAACCTAGCCATTCAAAAGCATGTAAAAATGCCAGTAGATAAATAGGTACCACCTCGGTGAGAAGGTAACGGCGTCCCATGTCTGGTCGCGCTGGCCACGTGACCACGGAAACGGTCTACGGACAAACGCTGGTTCTACCGCTTGGAAACAGAGATGAGCACCACGCCCTAGAGTCGGACACGACTGGACTCAATGTCGAGGGGAACCTTTACCTTAGCTTGAGCCACATGTCAGAGGAGAGCTCTAAAAGCCACCTCCAAGTTTCCACTCAGGTGACAACGCATCAAGCTTTGTTCTTGCAACCACCTGACCTCACAGTTCTCACGACCTCAGAAATAGGACAACCGGCCCACTTATTTCCTGCAACACTTTCTTTTCTGTTTTTATTACTGGTTTATTTAAAAAAGAAAATTACAAATAACAGAAACAAAACTAAAAAAACAAACTCGGCAGTGACTACACAGAATACATAATAAACATTTCCCCACCCGTGCCACCTTCACCCTCGGGATGAGGCGTCCTGTAATATCAAATCTGTACCCCCCTTTTCACCCCATTCATCTCTAAAAATACATTTGATTCTCCTGCTAGCCCATACATTCCAAGTATAGATTCCATACCTCTTTGAAATCATTAGGCTTTACTGTTCCTCTTATTTTCATTTCATATGTTAAATTATCGTTAATTGCTAAACTCCACAATTTCTTTGTACCAGTCTTCAAGATTAATTTGTCTGTCGCTTTTCCAATGCTTTGCAAATATTAATCTTGCTACTGTAACCATTATAGCAACTAACTCTTTCTGATCTTTTTACAAATGACCATTCTTAATTATATTCAGGAAGGCAATACTTGGCAATATCTGAATATTGTACCCAATAATTTTTATAGTTTCCTTAAAAAGCAGTGCCCGTTCTTCCTTTCTTATTTCACACGGGGCACCACTGTATTTGAATATCGTACCCAATAATTTTTAGTTTCCTTAAAAACCAGTGCCCGTTCTTCCTTTCTTATTTCACACATCCGCCACATACTCAGCAGAGGTCCCTTTTTCCTTTTTGCATCTCCAGTGTTGAGATGGTATATTTTTATTTATTATATTCAATTTTACTGGAGTTAAACACCATCTCCATGCTACCTAATAACAATTTTCTTTTACCCTTATAAAACATATTCTTCATTATTATTCTTGGTGATTGTATCTTATTCCAATCTTCTCCTTTAATCTCTTTCTCAAGTCCCTCCTGCCACTGGTTTTCATCATTGCTTGATCAAATCTAACTTTTCCCTTTCTTTTACTTACTTCTTGATCTTTTCTTTTGTCCGATAAGGTAAAGGTTCCCCTTGACTTTTATACCAGTCGTGTCCGACTCTAGGGGGCAGTGCTCATCCCCGTCTCCAAGCCACAGAGAGCCAGCGTTTTGTTCGAAGATAGTTTCTGTTGTCATGTGGGCAGCACGACTAGACACAGAACGCCGTTTTGTTCGATAGTCTCCTCAAATTTTGTCAATTTTCTAGTCATGCCTTTTCTTATCCACTCTCTAGACCCTTTTTCTAAGCAACTTTCAGGCTCAGCACGGGCAGATGAACCCCCGATTCCCTGCCAGAAACTCATGTCCGCAGAGGCAGGGATGAGCGCCAGATGGGGACGAAAACATCTCAAAAGCAAGGAGGCAGGAAGCGAGACTGGCAGGCAGCTGAGACGGAGGGAGGATTCCTGTTGAACTAGGAAAAACTCCCAGCTTTTAGAGGCATCCAAATGAACATCCTGGACAAGCCCAGTTGGGCTCCTCGGACCCAATGTGGCCTAAGAGCTAATCCTGGCAACATTCAAGGCTCCAAACTAGCCTGGCCTCCCACTCCCTTCTCTCCACTGTCCCTTCTTTGCTCTCCCCAGCCACAGACGTTACCTCGATGATGCTCAAGGGAGCTGGGTAGAGTCCTCTGGTCTGTTTCTGCACACGACGCTCCACCATTCTGTAGACTTGCTGACGCACGAAGGGAACAGACATGGCAAAATCCGTCACTCCTGCAAGACAAGGCAAAGCGGCTGCAGACGAGAGCGGCGCCCCCGGGAGGCCCTCTTCCAAGGCTCGCTGCTGCCGTCCAGGACCCGAAGCAGAGCCAAGCGAGAGGCCGCCACTCACTCTGGACGAGCCCCTTGTCCTTCTTCCGGGAAATCTTCTTGGTGGCTAGGCCTCTGGCAAACGTGATGGCCACCTCCTCCAGGTATTCCAGCGTCCGCTCTTCCGGGCTCTTGATGCCTGGACCTGAAAGGGAAAGACTGTCAGGGCACCCGAAGGACCGGTGCTTCCTGGAAACGTGAGAAGCTGGTGCCAGGAAAGGGGGGGGGATGCAGCCCGCCTCCTTATTTCTACCCGAACACAACCCATCCTGTGTCCGTGAGCTCCCAGAGGAAATGCAGGGAACAGAGTCCGGCCCCTCCCAGGCCTCCTAGCTGTATAAATGCTCTGGACTCGGGTGGCGGAGGGGGGGCGCACCTTAGTGGGGTATGGGACAGCCGCCCGGCCACCCCTTCAATGAACTACCAAAGTCCTCCAGGAAGAGCAGCATTGCAAAATCCGTGGCCATTACACACAAGGGAAAAACCTCTGGGATACACGTGGGGGGGGGGAAGGAGAGGGACGCTCTGAGGCTAACCTAGTGGATCCACCAGCTGGTCCACCAGCCCCATCCGCTTGGCTCTGTCGGCGCGTATGTTCCTCCCAGTCAGCATCATGTCGAAGGCAGCTGGAATGCCCACCTAGGCGAGGCAGAAGAAAAGGGCTGTTTCACCCACCAGGGACAAGAGGCAGGCGGCAGGAGGGAGCAGGCAGGACCTCCACCCACCCACCCAAACCCTGGCGGGGTCCAAGGCGGCCAAACTCACCATCTTGGGCAGCCTCTGAGTGCCTCCTGCTCCCGGCAGCAGCCCCAGTAAGACCTCGGGTGAGCCCAGGAGGGTCTTTTTGTCCTTGATGGCGATTCTGTACTGGCAAGCGATGGCCAGCTGCAAGAGGTTTTTAAAAAAGAAGAAAGGGGGGGGGAGGAAACCAACGCCATTCAGAGACACAGAGCTTCTTTCTCCCCTTTTTCTAAGCCCAGAATTGCACTCAGAACAGAACCATCGGAAGACTCCCAGGAGAGGCCATTTCAGGAGCTGAGCGAGACGGCCCAGGGCTAGGACCGGGGGGCCTCCAGGCTGCCGTTCTCGCAGGCCTGGATGCCAAGGTCTGTCCAGCAGCCCCCAGAGAGCCACCCACTCCCTCCCACCTGCATTCTGATGGGCGGATGTCCCCGACCTCAGGGCCGGCCTTTCCATGTCCTGACACGAACCGAGGGCCCCTTTTCCTGCCCTCCCTCCGCCACTGTACCTCCAGCCCTCCTCCAAGGCAGGAGCCGCTGATGGCAGCCACAATGGGTTTGGGGGATTTTTCCAAGGTGTCCATCGTCTTCTGCCCTTCCTGAGAAAGCTGCGTGATTTCTTGGCTGGATTTGCAGGCCTCGATCATGCTACAAGAAGAAGACAGGCCAAAAAGAGAGGACGGTGGGACTGCAGAATGGAGCACCAGGGAAACACATCAGGGAAAACATAATACATTTAATTTTAAAATATATAACTGACGTCTTATAAAACTGCTGGCTAGCTCAATGGTGTATATAATATGGCAGTGGAGGCAGAGGGTGGGAGTTTAATGCCCTGCCTGGGCCTCCCTGACGGGGGCTGGACATGATACAAAGGGTCCTTTCCAGCGCTATATTTTCTAAGAGGATGATGATGATGACAGAAGACAAAACAACTGCTATCAGTGAATAAGCAGGAAGCGTGGCGTTTTTCTTTCACAAAAAGCAGGGGGCCAACGCGTTCGCCTGCAGACCTCTTGCCCTTTACCTAATCCCCAGCAAAATCAGCATCCTTCACGAGCCAATTAAAATGGGGGTGGCGGTCGGTCTGAAACTGTTGCTGCAGCTGGTGCAGTCCTCCTCCGGCTTGCACGCAGAGGACACCCAGCACACTTCCTACCGGCTCCTTCCAGACGTCAAGCCCAGCTCCTTCCTCTACATTGTCTTGAGCCCCACCCCCACCCCCCACTTCCCCAGCATCTCTCTACTGTAACCCCCTGATATTGTCCTGGGAGGATACTGGGGTAAATGGCTCGACTGTTCAGGGCAGGCAGAACCTCTCAGGGCCAGCATACGAAACTTGAGGAATAGCTGCAGTTCAAAGGGCTCAGAGAGCCCAGCCCTTAAAGCACTGACATCTGAGGTCCAAGGGGGCACCCATTTATTTATCCACTTTGGGGCATCTCGTGGGGCTGGGGGGGGGGATTTCTCCATTTTCATTTGGAACACGTGTGTAATTTAAAAAACAGATTGTCCCCAAGTAGATTCTACAAAAGTGCATCCAAAGATTTCTGCCAGAAGCCTCTAACTCTCCCTAGAAAGAGCCTTGTGGCGCAGCGGTTAAGCTGCAGCACTGCAGGAAAAACTCTGCTCACGACTTCGGGTTCAATCCCAGGTAGCCGCCTTGAGGGTGACTCAGCCTCCTATCCTTCTGAGGCTTTACCTAATCCTCAGCAAAATCAGCATCCTTCACAAGCCAATTAAAATGGGGTGGCAGTCGGTCTGAAACTGTTGCTGCAGCTGGTGCAGTTCTCCTCCGGCTTGCACGCAGAGGACACCCGGCACACTCCCTACGGGCTCCTTCCACACGTCAAGCCCAGCTCCCTCTTCTACACTGTCTTGAGCCCCACCCCCCACTTCCCCAGCATCTCTCTACTGTAACCCCCTGATATTGTCCTGGGAGGATACTGGGGTAAATGGCTCGACCGTTCAGGGCAGGCAGAACCTCTCAGGGCCAGCATACGAAACTTGAGGAATAGCTGCAGTTCAAAGGGCTCAGAGAGCCCAGCCCTTAAAGCACTGACATCTGAGGTCCAAGGGGGCACCCATTTATTTATCCACTTTGGGGCATCTCGTGGGGCTGGGGGTGGAGATTTCTCCATTTTCATTTGGAACACGTGTGTAATTTAAAAAACAGATTGTCCCCAAGTAGATTCTACAAAAGTGCATCCAAAGATTTCTGCCAGAAGCCTCTAACTCTCCCTAGAAAGAGCCTTGTGGCGCAGCGGTTAAGCTGCAGCACTGCAGGAAAAACTCTGCTCACGACTTCGGGTTCAATCCCAGGTAGCCGCCTTGAGGCTGACTCAGCCTCCTATCCTTCTGAGGTTGGTAAACGGAGTACCCAGCTCCCATGGGTGGTCTGGGAGGGGGGCAGGCAATGTATAGCTTGCATAATACAACCGTAAACCACCCTGAGAGTGCTCTGAGGGCTATGGGGCAGCCTATAAGCCGCATGCTATGCTCCCCCTCCAGGACAACTTACTTGAGGTCGGCCCCGGCAATGAAGCAACCGGGCTTTGCCGAGATAAGGACAACACTGGCGATGGCGTCGTTGGCCCAGATCTCATTCATCACTTCAGTGAACTCTGACTGCATTGGCTTGCTCAGGGTATTAACCTGGGAAAAATAAATAAATAAATAAAATAAAGCCAGCGGGCAGGCTGAAACCCAGCTCAGCAAGGGGAACGCGCTTGGCAAGGCCACCTTCGCCTGCCTTTTCCGGCTCCAAGACAGAATGAATTGCCTCCAGGAGGGACAAAGCCTCAGGGAAGCGGCGTTCTTCCGAAATGAAACACAAATGTTACAGCGGTTGCGGAGCAGCTTGTCGTCACCAAGCACCGCCGTCGGCAGGCACAGTAAACTCCTCTGCGCTGCCATGTGGGGGGGTGGCGGCTGTGGGCCCCTCCTCCTGGCGGAGCGAAGGCCCTGCCCTTCTTTCATGGGATGTTTCTCTTTTTAGAAAACCGGGGCTCTCACTGCAAGCTGGGACACCCCTTCCCTGCCTTTGCCCTGCAAAAAGACTCTACCCTTTCCAAAGTGCTCCTTTTGCCGGAGAATCTCCTTCCTTCCTTCCTTCGGCTCCAGCACAGCTTCTCCGTCTCCCACCGGCACCTGTTTATGCCACTCAGGCCAACGGGAAACTTACCTTGGAATTTGGAGAGTTAAAACGCACAACAGCAACATCTCCTTTGATGTCATAGTTAACATGCGTTCTAGCTGCAGGAGGGGGAAAAAAGCAGGAGATGCATTTGTAATGGTTTCCCATGGATCAGATCCTAACAAGGCTTAAGGCAGCAGAGGACAAATTGCAGCTGGTGGGCCTCAGCCCCCATCGTCCCAGCCTCTCCAACCCCCCCCCCCAACATTTTGCTCCCAAAGCCTGCTTGCGTGGGGCATCTCTTTTATCTTTTAAGCAGCCTCTTAGGAGTGGAACTCAACAGAGGGGAAACCCGGACCTCTGAGCATTCAGCCTGGAGGTAGGCGGTGCATCACGGCCTCCCCCAATTTGAAGAGACCCTCGTCCAGCAGGCCAAGGCAAAGAGGCAGTCCCGAAAGAAGCAAAACCAGGAAGCTGGACAGGGGACAGATTGTCTTTGTCTTCAGGGTGGAAGGGATGGTCACTCTCGAATTGGCCTCCTCAGCCACACTAGATGCTGTTCCAAGCCCTCCATTCAGAGCACGCTACCATAGTCTTTCGAGACTGAAGGATGCCTACTATTATTGTCTAAATCAGCCATTATGTAAGCAATTTTAATATCAGAGTGGCCTCTCGAGACTGAAGGATGCCTACTATACTCTATCACTCCTGGGTCCCCATACGATGCCACCAATTTTTTACAGCTTTTTGGTTTGAGGTTTTTTTGTTAGGGCCAAATGCTCTCAAGAGTGCGAGAAAGACAGCTTCTCAAGTGAGCCCATTTTTCATCTAACACACACAAAAATTGTAATGACCCAGACATCTTTAAAAAAAACAATTTTAAAATTAAACACCCCAATTAGCCTCTCTGCCGACTGTTTATAGCTCCTGAAACTGGCCCTTAGAGTCCTGCTGAGGTTGCCCACCTCTGGCTTAGCAGAAGCCTAGAAACTAGAGGGAGGTTTCAATAGGATTCCCCACTTCAGTTTCTGCAATGCACACACAGACAAGGGTCACGCCTGCACTTAAAAAAAACAATTTTAAAATTAAACACCCCAATTAGCCTCTCTGCCGACTGTTTATAGCTCCTGAAACTGGCCCTTAGAGTCCTGCTGAGGTTGCCCACCTCTGGCTTAGCAGAAGCCTAGAAACTAGAGGGAGGTTTCAATAGGATTCCCCACTTCAGTTTCTGCAATGCACACACAGACAAGGGTCACGCCTGCACTTTTCCTGCTTTGCCATCCTTCCTTCTGCATGTGCCACCCAGCCAACCAGAAAGAACCCCCCACCCAGCCTCCAGTACTTGGAGGGGAAGGGGGCATGTGCTAGATAACAGGACAGATTTCCAAGGGGGATACCCAAGAGAGACGGCTGCTGCCAGCCAATAGTCTCTCCTCTTTTACTGGTTTATGGTGTCCCAAATATGCTGAAGTCCCCCACTTTGCTAATCATGCAGGGGGAAAAAATAATAATCTGAAAAGCAGTTCACCCACATCCCATCCAGGCATTAACACTTACATTTGAGGGGAGAGGTAGTGCTGAGGCTTTGGCAGGCATAACCTAAAAACAAAAGATTGCTGAAATCAACACAGAGGTGGAAAAAGTATTTCGGATCCCAAGGACCCAACGTTTGGAAACTGAGCACCCAGGAGACACCTCGGGGCCTTTTTCAATCCTGAGTTTACAGCCTGGGCTGCCCCCTTGAAACCAACGCCTCCCTCTGCTACCTGTCAGGCTCTCTTCATGGGACACACACAGTTCCTAAAAAGTTCAGGTATGGTCGGTTTTATATTTTGGTGAGGGACATCACGTTGGCACCAGAATGGCCCCAGGAATCTTATTCACGCAAGAGGCACGCAGGCCACTCAAAGCACAGAGTGTCAGAGGGGCCCAGGCAAACGACGATCCTCTCATGGAAGGGGGGGAGCCCCTGCCCTCCCCTGGAACTCAATAAGGCGGCACTTGCCCAGGCTTTCAAATCAGAAGGCCATTAAAATCACTTTTGGAGGGTTACTTTGAGCCTCAAACAGGCCCAGTGAAGTGAAAGAGCTTTTCAGTGGCCAACGGCATCGTCCGAGGGAGAGAGAGTGTGTGTGTGTGGGGGGGGCATGGCTAGTTATTTCTACACCAGAATCTGAAAATTTAAATTTGTTTTAATCTTCACATAGATTTTTTAAAAAATACTATAGCATTTCTAAAACTGCCATTTGTTTTATAATTTCAAGTTATTAGCCACCTTGGGTTACCTATAGGGAGAAAGGCGGCCCATAAATAATATAGCTAAAATACATAAAATAAATTGCTCTCAGCAGAAGGAGGTCGAAAGGTGTTTCATCAACAGGCCACACGCAGCCCTCAGCTGGCATGCTCCGAATCTCCGGCTTGCATCTAAGGATATACAAAGAGTGGTGCTGGATGAGACCAAGGCCTCCCTGCCCCATTCACTGTTCTGTGCCCACGGGGGCCAGGATCAGATGCCCCAAGGGAAGCACGCGGGTGGGACAGGAGAACACGGGCACCCTCCCAGTCCTGTTCTTCATAGGCCTCGTGGTGTCCCTAGCAGTAAAGGCCAAAAACCGTCACTGGAACGAGCCGCCGGGGAGAATGACAGAGATTCTGGTCAAGAAGGGAGCCTCAAGGAAGCCTTTCCAAACCCCAACTTCCTCTGGAAGCAAACGGCACAGTTGGAATCATGCCATGGGAAGAAGTGCTTCCTGCTGTCTGTCCCCGACACGGGGCCCTTCAGTGGAAAGGAGTCCACCCTTTCACACATGCAGGTGAAACACGGGAACTCCAGAGATGCAGGCTGAAATCCTGTAGTAAGCCGCAACGAGAGTAGGCCCATTGAATCCATGGACATTGTCAAATCCCCACCCGTTCAACCGTGTCCACGTGCAGGGCCAGGTGGCTGCGCGCTGGAGTGCATGACAGGCTTTCAGCCGCTCGGAGACCAAAACCGCCCAGCCCCTCCTGGGGGACGACAGACGGCTCCCTGTATGTGAGGAGCAGCCCTCTGAACAGGCAGCCCCACGAGACAGCATCCGTTCCACGGGGAGGCCAACTCTAAGAAGGCCACGCAACAAAGCCCCACCCCACGTGGCCTTGGGCAGGACCCCTTCGGTTGCCTTGGCTCAAGAAAGAGCATGGAAGCCCCCGGGGGGAGGGGAGGGGGCTTCAAGACAGCACAACCCGGCCGGCCAGGAAGAAGAGGGAGGCGACCCCTGGACCTTGCTTGGCACATTGCTACCCAAGGCACATCGCTACAACACCCATAATCCACAGCACACATCACACTGTGCCGCTACCCAAGGCGGGAGATGTCAAGGATATAATTTCCAAACCTGAGACAGAACAAGGTTTGTGTTAATTAGCAGCCATGTTTGCACAGATGTGCAAGATGCTGAGTCATGCAGAATGCTGAGTCATGGATGATGCAACACCTGCAGTGATTGGCCGCAGGCTAATATGTATATGTATGTGTATATATGTATGTATAGAGTTGTACTGAAGATGTATCGGGTCTCTACCTAGGACGTCATCCTGTCGTGCTGCCCGTTAGAACTGCTGTATATGATGTAAATAAGGCTTTGGTGTTGGGAGAAGCTGCCTGTGTGTGAGCTATTTGGACTGCTTGGAGTGGACAAGACTCTGCTAACTTGACACCAGTTTTGCACCAACAGGACCCCATCAACTGCCTGGGAGACCTTGTGCCCGGTGGGCAGCTTGACGCGGCACAGCCACAGGACGCAGGGGAAGAAGGGGCCACCTCCCCCCTTTGGGGGCCACAGAGGCAGGGGTCCCCCTGCATCCTCCTGTCGGGGCTCTTAGTCCCAGGGCGCCACCGCTCTGCAGGAGGAGCCTGGGCCCTGCAAGGCACCGGACACCCGGGAGCAGAAGGCCGCCTTTGGGTTCCCAAGACACAAAGCGGCCGGAGACTCTGGGCAAGAGGGTCTCCAGCCAGGCCCAGAGCAAAAGAAGCCCTTTGCCCCCTAAGCCCAGGTGAGCCGTCGGAGAGAAGCTCCACGTCAGAGGCCCAAGGCCGCGGCTCTTGGCTCAGCAAGGGAAAGCACCCGGTGGTGGTGGAGGAGGCGGTGCCTTGCCCTCTGGCCTACATTCCCCGTGCCTGTGCGTGTGTGCGTGTATACGTGTGTCAGAACGGAAAGGACCTTTCACCTACATTCCGCTCCGCTCCAAAACCACAGACCCTTGGGAGGCAGGATCGGGTTCCCTGCCTGCCTGCCCGCCCAAATCCAAAAGCAGCTGGTTCCCTGCCTGCCCGCCCAAATCCAAAAGCAGCCTCGCCTCCCTTGGGGAGTGGCGCTGCCTCCATGGATCCCTGTCACGGTGGCTCCAAAAGAAAAACTGAGCCCATCCTCCTTTATTCTTTTCTTTTTTCTTTATCTTTTTTTGAGAAAGGGCTGTCTCCTGCTCACTCCTTGCCCGGGCTTTCAAGCTGGACTCATGAATCAGAGCCGCTGTCCAGGTGGAAAAAAAAGAATGCTCTAAAAAAAGTTTTAAAAATTTTAAATCGTCAAAATACTGTATCTCATTTTTAAAATTGAAATTGTGATTTAAATCAATCCAACCTATAACAAATCCACCCTGGCTGCTTTGCTACTCATGTGGGTCTCAGAGTTTAGTGAGCCCACAGGATGACCTTGAAAACCATCACCTCAACCAGACGCACGACCCCCCCCCCAGGCCACATAATTCTACAGCAGGGGTTTTTCTGCCTCCTTTTCCCAAACGACAAAAGGCAAGCCCAGACCCTAAAAAAACCAAAGCAGAAACCCAGTGGCGTTTGGGGCAGACACGCTCTCAGTGGAGTGACTCCTCTTAGAACGGCACAGCTGGCAGGAAAGGCTTCTGAGAATTTTAGTCCAAGAACATCTGGGGACCCAAAGTTGGGAACGGCTGTCTCAGAGCTTGAGAAACTGCCCAGATGCTAGAGAGTAGCTGAAACCTTGAGTGGGCCTTACCCCCGCCTGCTGCGTTGCACCACAACTCCCATAATCCACAGCACACATCACAGTGTGGTCCAAGAGATCAGATGGGGTGATGGGGGGGAATTACAAACAAATGACAAGAAAGGAGAAAGAACTGCTGACTTCAACAACTGCTAGTCAAAGGGAGAGCAGCACAAGGGCTCTGTGCAACCAGACTGGGGCCTGGCAGTTCTCAGATCCCAAATGATCATGCACCAACCAGAAAATTATAATAGAGCAAGGTATCATCCTCAGGCATCACTCTACAGCCAGTTTTCTTTACCCCTCTTCCTTCTATTGTCTTTTTTTCAGAGAAGAAGTCTTGAGATCGATGAGTTTCCTTTTGGAATATCAAATCGATATCAAATGCTTCTTTCGTAGTTATTTTTTTAACTGCTAAAATAATTATTTAAAAACCTCTTTAAAACTGGGGGAGGACCCTGCATTAAGTTCTAAATTCCCACAAAGCTTTACTGATACACAAGTTGTCTTACAAGAGGTGTGTCCTTCGAGTACTTATGCAAACCCCCAAAGCAGGTCCCTCCAATTCTTTAAAGACTCCAGGGCTGGAAGGTATTAACCCTATCGAGAATTCGCAAGGCTCTTTCCTTGTTCAAAACACAAAGCCTGAGAAAGGACAACTCCGTTCAATGGAGTCACAATATCATCCATACTACACAGAGGATGAACCACGCGGGGAAAAATTCACCCTTTTCCCCACTTCATGCCACTCATGAATCAAAAAAGGCAACGGCTCCTAATCTGAAATGAGATTAATAATAATTGCATGCCGTCCAGTCAATTCCCACTTAGGGTGACCCCTTCCAGGATTTTCTAGGTATAGAATATAGAGAGATAGTTTTATTCTAGGGGGGGCCCCGGGACGGCTGCGCAGCTTGCCCCAAGGTGACTCGGGCTGGCTCTTGCGGGGGAATCGAACTCCCAAACTCTGGCTCCCCAGTCAGAGGCTGAAACGGGACCAGATCCCCACCCTACCCCGTCTACTCCTCTCATTGATCTTCTGGCAAGAGGGGGAGGCTCTTTCCCCGACCCACACACCCACCCATGGCAAACAGGCAGTCTATGTATCCAGGGGCACTGGAAGGCCCCCCCTGCCCCCGTCCCCAATCCAAGGGCCTGAGGGCTCTGGGCAACCCTCCTTCGACGGGACTACAACTCCCACCATCCCCCTTCGTGGTGGAGAGTGACCGGCCCCTTCCCCAAAAGGAACGTCCTCCCCAGGGAACCTGGTCTGCGAAAGTCCTCCTGAGGGAGAGAGGGAGGGGAAATGGGAAGGGGGTCGGGTGGCTGGCTGGGGTGGGCTAGATGACCTTCCTGAACCCCTCCCTTTTTTCCCCCGCATGTGATTTGGACCAGGGGGGGGAGGAGTAGGAGGGCAGGGATCGGGTCCTTCGGGCAAGGCCCAGCGGAGGGCGACCCCGGAGGAGCCAGAGAGGCCCTGCTTCCTCCCGGGTCGGGACCCCCCCTTCCCGGCCTGGGCCTCCACCTCCTTCCCTCCCTCGCTCGCGGGGGTCTCACCTGCCAGGCGCCCCCCGGAAGGGCAGTACTTGGCGGCGGCGGCGAAGCGCGCCCAGCTCCCGATGGCTCTGACCGCGGCCGCCATCTTAGCCCGCAGGGAGGTCGAGCCGACGAGGACGGAGACCCTGGGCCGAAGGGGCGGGAGCGGGG